TGGAAGATATTGATGTTGGATGCAAAAAAACTGTGTTTTGCATTTCACTGAAACTAATTCATCAAAGTGGACATTAATTTAGTTATGAGGACAAGGTGATTCTTCATAAAATCTAACTTTGTGTTTTAGTGATAATCTAGACATCACACATGCATGGTCAGTCATACTTTATTTTGATGGAACTTTTAGAACCGCATATTTTTATGCTACATCACAATCATCTTTTAATTATCCAAGCAAAACAGTATGAAATTTTTTTCATTTTGTGAAACGTTCTTCGTTGTATGCCAAAAATCAAGTATCTGCACTTATAAAGTGTATTTAATATGATAGATTTTAAAATATGAAGGTGTTCATTCATAATAGTAGACATGGAGTTTAATCACATAACAGTTTCATACATAAATAATGACATTTTGCAGTCAATTTTTACACTGCGAATCTGAGAAGAAAACGCATCGGAGATTGAGACATTATGCGTATAATTTTTTTACGATAAATCGAAAAATTTGATCGTTGTACTTTTTCTCCTATGAATTACATAGTTTGTTGTCAATTAAAGCCTTTTATTTATAATTTTTTTTTAATTTATCAATACTATACTTAGAAATCGTTATAAGATCGATTGAAAAGAATTCTGCACTATCAACAAATTTGCATGGTAACTGTAAAATAGTAAACACGATCTTTTTCATTTATTGAGTTCGAATATCTCAAAAAATAAGTCAAAAATAAAAAAAGTGAGGTGATAAAAATCTTTGTTGCACTGTAAAGAATAAAAAATGTTCTATAAAATATTGTCGATTTTTGAATATTTCAAAACTTATTAATTAAAATGCGTGGGTTCGAGCAGGCAAAAATTGTTTATAACAGAAAAAAAATGACGCGTACATTTTTCGGTCGGCGAATAGTTTTTTCAAAATCGTTGCGTAATTTTGAAGAAGCATTGGTTCAAAATGGGAGGTTAGATTTGCTAATTCAATTACACCTTTACTGGACTATGATCATATGACTATGACCAAGGGGAGCATATTTCACGATGTGTTATTTTTATTCACATTAAAAATATGACATTATTTATGTGTAAAATGTTTTAAGATATCGTGTATAGTATTTTGATATTTATAGAACACACGTTGTATGAATTATTTTAATTTATACAGATGTACGGTGGTATAACAAAAGAACTTAAATTTAGTTTTGGACAAAATTTTCTAGCATTTTCCTGGATAGTACTTTTGAAATTGGAGCCCCCCTCCTCGTCAGTGTCAAGAAGTGAGTTAAACTCTAAAGAAAAACTTGTCGTTCAGAGTTGGCTTTTCATCCTTTGACGTGGCAACGTTTCCGTTCAGTGAAACCTTACAAGAATATATCAGCAACTTGAATGAAAAAAAAAAATAAACGTAAAGTTTCATTAAAAAAAAAAAAAAATCTCAAGAAACGGATAAAAATCCATTGACGTAGACTTCATAAAAACTTTATACGTTTAATAAGATAATTAGTGCTTTAAATGAGTTTTTATAAATATTGTAAAGTAAGAAGAAATAATAGCTTAAAAGATTATTATATTAAAGAGCAATTAAAGCATTTATTATTAAAGACAAAAACACTTAGTAACAAGGAAAGCATTTGGTCCCTCTAAGTCTTAGTCAGTAACTAAAAATAAACAAAATTAGTTTTGTGTTGCTATAAACAAATCCGTCGACTGTCAACATAAACATTATATACATAACTTATATTTTACAATATTATCCCGAGTCAAAATATAACACCTAAATTTATTCTTTTCATACCATCCCCATCCTTTTACCCTAGATTCAAACTTTTTATCCTAATAATATTTTTATCCTTCTGAAGTAGGTAAAAATTAGGATATAGACAGAATAGCCTAATTTTAACCTCATAAATTGATTTGCTTATATTTAGAAGTATTTATGGATATAGTTGGAATAAGGTTACGATTCATATAATGGATTAATTTTCCAAAAATTATGTTTATTAAAAATTGAATTGTTTTAAATGATTTGTTGCAACCAAATAATGAATTAAATGAAATTGCTCTTTCAAATATTATTGGAGTGGTAAGTCAGGGAGGACTTGGTTGAGCCAATTAAAGATACAATGATTATCCAAAACTAAGTTTATTCAACACTCTAAACAATACTCTAATGATCACAAGAAAAATGTTTATATAAGTAAACCAGAATACAGATATTTTATGAATACAAAAGGAACGCGTCGTGATACCAAGAAGCTTCACGAAAAAGTGAGTAAGAGCGTTCAGGAAATAAACCCACAAACCGGAAGGGAGGGCTAGTGTCTTGGGCCTTATGCACCTCACGACACCCAAAGATGTCGTCACCGACAAAGTCTAAACCTCAACAAATATGAACATGGTCAATCTTATAATAACTCCCATTACAGTCATACTTTTTTTAATAACACATATGATGTTAATGCTGATGGACAGCCCAATTAGAATTGAAATAAAAAAATAAATTATGAATAATAATGTTTTCATTAAAATAAAATTACTCGAATCTCAAATAAAATTAGATTGAAACCAGGAAAAGTATGAAATAAAATTAGAATGAAGATAGGATAAATTAGTATGAGTTTAGGATAGAATTGAAAAAATTTTTTCCTACGGAATTGTTACGTATTCTGACTTTAATATGGATTTGTTCATCTCAAGTTAAGGCTCAAAAAAAGATAGATTTAAGACAAAAATGAGTGTTATATTTTAACTCGGGATATATTGATGATACAGATTAAGCTACATATTTCACACTAAAAAAAAATTTGTAGTTTTTTAACTGTTAAAAATTATTTAGCGATAATTAAAAAATTATAAATCATTATTTTTAAATAATAATTATAAAATATCAAAATATCAGTGCTCTTCAGTGGTCTGGGTGCGACCCAAAAGGTCAACACAACTAACTTCCTGGTGGAAAGAATGATAAGATTTTCCAGTTTTTTGATTCTGCAAAAAAAATTGTTGGATCGATTTCGCTAAAAACCTAATCAATTCTAAGGAGCGTCATTATGCGTCGAATGCAATTGGTTCCACGTTGACATCATTTTTTGTTCTCGAGATAATCGAGGTGAAAAATAATTTCAAACGCACATACGTACATACACACACAGACGTCGACTGGAAAACTGTCGTATTCGACTCTAGGGACCTTGAAACGTGGAGATATGTCAAAATTCGGGATTTTCAAAATCGGACCCATTAGAATAACTTCTCACTGGAATGTTGAGAATTAAGGTTAAAACGAGAGCCAATCAAAACATGGAATTATTCATTAATTTATTAATTTATTGAAAAGAACCTTTATCGAAATTCATTAATACTTGTTAATTTATTAAAATTTCGCTTTTGTCTAGTGTTCTACTTAATCCTCCTTTTCCCTGTTCTAAATAATTAAAAAAATAATTTATTAATTAATTACAAGTCTCTTTCTACAGTGAATATATATTGGTTTAATAAAAGTATTAAAATTATTCTAGACTAATAATATTAATCACACTACTACATAATTCAACTGAAACGAGATAATATTTTTTTTGAAAAATTTATCACAATATCTGTATGTATTTACCCTCGAATATATTAAATGAAGTAAACGCTGTATACAGTCTCATTTTTATGCATAGCTTTAAGAAACCAAGTTAACGATTGGTTCTTACCCGAAAAAAGTACGTAGCCAGTATGATGAAGTCACGATTTAACCATCTTATTTTCTAAAAATTATTATTCTAATAAATCTTCAAATAAAAGCATACTCAGTGTTTAACATTAAATTAAAAAAAAAATTTATGAATGAACATGACACTCTATAAAACTGAATTGTAAACGAACATGACCTCAAAGGATCACATTACAAATTTTCCAGTCTAAAATTGAGGAAAACATGAAAAAGATAAATTCAAACCGTGATTTAGATTTGCAAACTCATTACAGCGTACTTTAAGAAGTTGGAAAACCAACGTATGATATTTGATAAAAGTAAATTATAACAAATAGAAAATATCAAATTTCGATGGCGGATATCTGAAAAGATGAAAAAGAAACGACGAATATTGAATAACACTTTGGTAAGGACTATCTGGAAGTTTTTCTCTGATCTTCTGGTAATCACAACGTGCATAAGAACAAAAGACGCTGCTTTCTTTTTATCTCTATACCTTCAGTTTCTCTTCTTCCCTCTGTATGTATCTCTTAACTGTTCCGGAAATTTGGACGGGGAATTGAAAATTGTGATCGATCACCATCGAACAATGAAATTGTCGTTGAAATAAACGCAGATAAAAAGATAAAATGAAACGAAAACAAATGATAAAGAGTTTTTATTCCAAAATTTGGCAAAGTAGAAATGCATTAATAAAAGTTTACTTAATGGATGACATTCTTAACATTATTCTCTCAAATTGCGAATGAATTTTAAAACTGTTTCAGATTGGTGATATTAAAACATTTTTTCATTATTTTTATCGTAAAAAGCAACGTTGGTAAATTACGTCATGCTCTTCTTCCGACATTGATCAATGCAAAAGATACTTAGGTTGATGAAAAAGTGGTTGCAATTTGGACCGTCTTGAATATTAGCACTATAAAACTGTCGCGAATGTAATGGAGGTTACAAATGATCTCAAGACATTTGCATCTGCTTTTTTCATACACCACAAGTTATTTTCTTACAAAAAAAATTAATTTTCCATATCATTTATTATTTTTTATACAAAGGTAAAAAATAGCATGGTAATATTTCTTACTGCAAATCCGAAATGATTTACACACGTGTTACATGAATAACGCTATTAATAAACTATACTACGTGTGTGAAGTTTTCACACACTATTATGTGTGTAAAAAGTGTCTACAAAATTACTATAGTTCATTTATGGCGTTATACATTATCTGTGTGAATTTCAAATATGTATGAAGGGATTTTTGATCTGCAGCGCTTACATTGCCATTTGAATTGTTTCAGTATATGCGTGACAGTGGTGGTCTTGAATGTCCATTTTCGCTCACCTCAGACACACAAAATGGCACCATGGGTAAAACGAGTATTTATCCACATCTTACCAAGATTACTAGTGATGCGGAGGCCGCAGTATAAGTTTGAGCCAAGTCGGTAAGTGTTCTATCTTTATGCTATACGAACTGGAAAACATCAAGGAAGAAGACTTGAAAGCTTAAGATTTAGAAAATGAGAGTGTGCTGACGTAGCTATAATCATTTTCTGGTTTTATCGTGAACAAAGCAAATTCTTTCTTAAAATTACTCTTTCGTATTATTTCACGAAAGTTTTTCATTATTGACTCCTTTTTTATAAATGATATTGTTACAATGCAATATCATCAAAATACCTAGTTCGATTGAATGTCGTTTTCCAGATGAATTCTGTACATTTCAATCAATAAATTCGAAATTTTTTTTATTTGAAGTTTATAGTCATAAATGAGATTATCCACCATAACATGTTCCAAATATTGACGATAAACTGATGTAAGCATTTTGCCATTTCCTTATAAAAGTAATAGATATTTGACATCTTGTTCTTTTCGAAAAGATATCGAAAATTGACATATATTAAGAGTCAATAATTAAAATTATCTTGCTTCCATTATTGGCGTTTTTTTTAAAAGAGTATTTTTATTAGTTTTTCATTTTTTTTTTAATTTTCTTAGATTTTCTTCTGGTCGAGTGTTTATGAGAACTGTCAGAGGGAAGGAAAAACCGAATTATTATCCTTACCATCCTTCAAGTCAAGAAGATAGTGAAGAACATCTCACACCTAAACGGTTTTCAAGTCGTCCAGTTTCGAAAGAGGACCTGTCGCCGTCAAGGTATTCAATCATTCAGTACGATATTATGATAATTATTATTCAAGTTAATTATGAAAATACTTAAAAAGTTATTGTATAACAGCCTAACAGATCAGGCAAGGTTTGGAGGAAGTTGTTTAATCCACGGTCCAATACCACCACTACCTTTAAATACTGAGTGTGAAAATTTAACTGGAGCAGCTGGAATCGAAGAAGTGAAGAGTCCAGTTTTACGAAATCTTTCAACTTTTTCTCATTCAAGTTGTCCACCCGAGATACACCGATCGTGTCTCTGTGTTCGCTTTATAGCTGAGCACACAAAGATGCTTGAAGACTCTACCAAGGTAAAAGCAATAAAAAATGTTTTTCATTAGCATTAAATTGAATAAAATAAATTTTTTCATTTTTACTGCTTTTTTTTTATTTTAAGGTAAAAGAAGACTGGAAATATGTGGCAATGGTATTGGATCGATTGTTTCTGTGGATTTTCACTCTAGCTGTACTAGTAGGAACAGCTGGAATTATTCTACAAGCACCAACCCTTTATGATGATCGAGTTCCCATTGATAAAAAATTCAACGAATATGCCAAAGACACAGTCGTTAGATGTCCTCCTCAATAGTCTCCATTTAGATTATTTGTTGCAGAAGTATAAGTAACTATTATCGTATTTCATACACATACATCCAACTCTTATGATGTTGTCAACATAAAATAAAGATCTGGCAATATTTTAACTTTTAATTCACCATTAGGTTTTGAATTAATACGACTAATAGGCTTCATCCAATCCTGTGAGAAAGAGTAGATGACATAAGATGAATTGTAGAGAATATAGTTAAAAAAAAATTTTAAAAAGTGAAAAATGACATTATCTAGCCTGTGCTCAAGTAACTTATGACAAAGCTGCCACTACTCATTCAATAATGAAATAGTTAACAATAATAATTAAAGTAATGATAATGATAATAATAATAAAAAAATTAAACAATAATAATAAACTAAAAGATAAAACTCTTGAATTAATTCGAATGAAATTGTAAAATATATTGGATAGACATTATAAAAATTTTTAATTATAAGTCATGTTTGAAATTTGACAACCTGAAGTTTTTCAATAACTTTTCAAATTTCTCGATCAATAATAATTAATATTACGTTAATGTTTTAATGAAATTGTGAATTTATAAAAAGATGAACGATATAAATAAAATCACGTTTCCATATTAGATTTGTTTGCACGTAGCCAATTCATATTGCTTGTGTCGGCGTAATCATAATATTCATGAGGAAAGAATTCGGAAGTTCATCTTTCATTATATAAGCATTGAAAAAGTATTTTTTAATTTTCGATAACTATGTGCAAAGATAATTCTTCTATTTATTTTATGACAAAAAAAAAGGAAAATAATAGTATAATTTCAATTAATTATATATATAAACAATCCCCACCATTGTAAATACTTCTCTAGTGATTTTAACAAAAGCTATCATTAACCAGAAAATTCGCCTCAAATGTATTTTATAAAAAAACAAAAGCATAATTATCACTATCAATATGCCCATAAACGAAAATCATATGGAAAATAACGACACAGCTGCAATGCCGCAATTAATTTTTAAGCATCTAGTATAATAAGAAGAAGTAAAGCATACGAATTCTAAAGCTGATAGTTGTAGAGAGCTGTGAACAACAAAAATTGTTGTTCAATGCTAAAGTAGTTCGTAGTCGATATCAATATGAATCGTCTACGCTAATTATTTTTTTAGATAGAAGAATACCTCGCAAATTGTATTATAAATTATAATTTATAATTATCATATTAATAGTATCGTTAACCTCGACTAGACTCTGAAGATAATATAAATCATTATAGAGCTCTTTAACTCTATAATGAATTGAAGTAGTCTTCTTTACAGTCTAGAAGTGAAGATATAAGAAATTATGTACAATAGTCTGTTATCTTGTTCTGTAGCTGTGTAAATATTCACAAATCATGGTAGAATCAATAACTAGCTTAGAATAATTTATATCGATTACTGCCAATAAAATTTATTACAGTTTATATATAATCACCATATAATAGTTAATGAACCTTCAAACTGTTCATTTATTAAATTTTGTGAGCATTCCAAAATTATATCATAGTGATTTACTCAGTAAAATTATTTTGACTTCATAAAGTCCAACATTGCCTAAATTATATAAACGAAATTTTCTTGAATACTAAAAAAAATGCCAACGTAATTTCTTCCAATGTTTACAATCCCATTGAAATTATTTATAATATTGTTTGCGTTTATTCTTAAACTAAAAAAATTTGGCAAAAAAGCGCACACATTTTATATTTTAGCGACTTTGTGCACTTTGAAATAATTAGAAACAAGTGTATTCTATAATCTAATGAATAGTTAAAGTTGTTAGAATTTACTAATAAGTTTGTGTAAATATGTTGTAAATATTACAAAAAAAATGGTAAAATTGTTGATGAACTTAATCTATAATGATAACATATTTGTACGAGACTTTTAGCACTTAAATTCAATAATAATAAAACGTATAATTGAATTGTTATGATTTTTAAATCTCATATATTGACATAAAAGTCTCGTTCATTTGTGACCTATCTCCTTATACGTTACTATTGATAAAATATCTCATCGTCCAGAAAAGAAGTTTTAATATGAATACAATTTTAAAAAAACAGCGGAATTAAGAAATTCTTCATCATGAAAATCAGTGATCTCATAATATACGAAATTAAGTTAAATATTAAGCAATCTATGAGATAATGTTTTTATTAACAATGCTTCTTTGTTTGATAAATATATATCAAAAAATAGTTGCATTCTATTGTGTCAAATGAAAAATTATAAAGTATACTTATAAAAATATTTCTTTATTTTTATTGAATTATTAATTAATTAATTATTAATTAATTAATTATCAGTAAACACCATGTGTTCATTTGTATTTTACATGTATCTGTTGGGCCATTGTGCATTAATTACTGACAATGATGAACAGTTCAAAGACGAATAATTAACACACAAAAAGCACATGGAAATTCAATTAAATAATAGTTATATTGTAATAGTATTCATAATAGTGTTTATAAAAGTATTGCATCTGTACCAATAAAAGAAGCGCATTATTAAATTGATTGAGATTCAATGATTATCTTCAGTAACAAATATTATCATTAGATAGAGTTCAAATATATATTAATACATATAATATAATATATATATGTATGTATATCCTAAAGTTTGTTATATATATATATATATATAAATCCATTTAATGTATTATTTGGGGACGAGGGACTGGTATCCCCCTCTCGATTTTCAAAATTCCCGTGCGGCCTTCGGCCGCACGGTTAAAAAGAAAAATATAACCCTGCAAGTACAGCGTATGCAATTACAGTGTTCCTTTGCCCTTATTTTCACCTTTTTTTTCAAAAAACAAAAATAAATCCATTACAACGTGGCAACGTCGTGTCCTCAAATAATACCTTGTATATAGACCAGTGGCTCAAATAATACGTTGGATACATGATTTTTTTTGGGACTGTCCCCAAACTATACAAATGTTCTCAAATAATACCTTGTACTTAAGAAATGTTCCCAAATGACACTCTGATTAGATTTATATGTATATAGTATATGTATATGTATATATATATAGGAGAAATCGGGGCAAGATGTTCTATTTAAGAATTTTGTGGTCTGCAAAGATATAAACGTATAAATGGTATTATGTATCGTTTAAGAACTTTAATCTTCGATAATTAATATAACGTAAGCTTTCTTACTTTATTTTTTCCATACTCAAATGTCAAAATTTCACACATTTTTACATTTTTTTCTCAAAAGGGAGGGAGGGTCTTGGCCTGGTTTCCCCTACTATTAAAAAAAGTAATGTCATTAAAATAATTATGTGAGAGTAAAAAACAAGATTCTTGTTGCTCGGTTTTGTAATCATGCTTGATGGAAGCATGCGAAAATAAAACTTGTGGTAGAAAATTGGTTTTATTTTCTTGTTACCTCTGATGAAGTTTGTAAAAGTATTTTAGATATACCGTGGTACCGTCTTTCTTATGAAAATTTTTCCTTCAGAATATTATTTTTAAAAATTTCCTACGTACACGCTGATTAATCATGTTACTCTGCAACTCCCAAACAATGTTCATTCTTTTAAATTGAGAATATTATCCTGGAAATCAGCCAGAGATTTTTGAAGAAATGAAATCCAAGAGGTTCCTCTTGCTTCTACCAATGCTGTGATATAACCAACAGGCTTAAGACTCTCATAGTTATTATCTCGAAAATTCTGAAACTAATTAAAAAAGAATTTAAGCATTTAACTTTAACTGTTTTTTTTTATTTATTTAAGTCGTTTCAAATAAATAATTTTCACTCACATCAGCAAGATCTTTCTCACTCGTAAAACCACTACCTACAGAGCCAACAAATGCTCTAAGAATAGGATATGACTTTCGAAATCTGTTTAAAATATTCGCCCAATTGTTTTGAACAAATTTAAATGCTACTTGAGCAGATACTGGATGTTTATCGAAAGCTTTGAGAATAATTAAAACGTCATTTTCATCAAAAAAATCACCACGAACAATTTCATTTAAAACTCTGTACAATAAAAGTTAATTATCAAAGTTTGTTCCATAATAATATTATTATCAAATATGTCAGCTATTATTATATACTATTTACAAAGTGATTGACAATCATCTTGTCAATTAACTTACGCTTTCAGTATCCAGGGAACTTGAAAACAAGCCAAAGATGACAAGAAGGAATTTCTATCAGTATCTCGTCGTGTAATGTTTCCTAATTTCTGTTGCCACCATTGCCAACCCAGTTCGTCTTCCAATTTAGCAAAAGTACAAAGTAGTGTTTCACGTAAATAAGTGGCAACACTAAAATTTCATTATTGCAATAAAAATTTATACACCGATAGTAGATTTTAGTTAATAATGAATTCTTACACATATCTGTCTTTCCACACATGAGATGTCCTTAAGCTCTCATAATTATTCTTGGCCCATTTAATGTAATCAGAATTCTCGAAAGTTGAGCCCAATTGATGTGCTATCAAAGTCATTCTACTTCCTCGTTCAACCTGTGTTCCTACTCGGCTGAACAGACTTGATGTTAGTTTTCTCATGAATTCCTAAAATATGATTTAATTATAGAATTGTTTTAAATGTAATTATATGAAAAATTCGAACAATCAATCGATAATAAACAAATCGTGTATAGTTATTTGAAACAAAAAAAAATTCAATTCAACCAGCTCTTAGTGAGTTATATAACTCACTAATATATGCGATCGATTATCGATAATATAATAAAAAATTTTTTTAGTGGAATATGAGTAATCTCCCAAGTCATGTTCAGTCACTAGTCTTTTTATCCTACCTGATAGTCTGGATAAACTGGTGTGTCATATAAAACAAGATCCAACTTGATTACATGACGCATAAGCGCAGTCCAAGGCTCAGGCTGTGTTTCATTTTTCAAATAATTTATTATTCTAAAAGCGGTAGCGTAAGATGTCGATCCAACAAACGATAAACTCATCACATCATCCACAAGAGAGGCTTTTACTGATGATGGAAAAATCGATGGATTTAATTCGAGTGCCATGGCAATCAATTTCCAATTATAATTGTCGTAATTAACCCGATAATAACCTGTAAATTAATCAAAAAATTCCAAACTTAATTTCGTATTTTTTTTTTTTTTAATTAAATAGAAACAAGATAGGACACCAGAAGAATTTATGTTAAAAATGACCCATGATTTTTCTCCTACATCACCAACATTTTCCAATATCATCTCTTTCTTTGCTGCATTAATCCACGCAAAAGAAGGAGAGGACCAGTCATTTCCCTCATTGATCCATGTAAGTGGAATATGCCATGAGCTTTCATCATCGTTTGTTATATTATCAAATACAAAGTGTTTCTATCAATAAATAATATCCATAAATTTATTAAAATCAATAATACTGTGGAAATTGTTTTTTAAAATAAATATATTTAGACAATTCAAAAACAGTGATTGTTTTGTTTACTTGATAAATTTTCGCTGAACCTGCATCATAATCTCTGCTAATTTCAATCACAGGATAACCATGCCCATTGATCCACGATTCCATTACATTAATCAGATTTACATTATGAGATAAATTATTTGATTCAGAGGTCATCTCTTCTAAAAATGAATGAACATCTGCGTTTCCATTGGACCTAATAACATTGACATATTTTTAATATTTATCCTCGAGCATTCAAAAGGAAATAAACTATTAAATAAATTGAGATGAGAATAAACAGGATGTAAAATATTGTTTCTTTCAAGAGTACCCACCACCGTGAAACGAACTTCCTGTAGACAGTCCTAGAGTTATTCCGCTTCAATACGTAATGCAACATGCGTAAGAGACATGCACCTACGATTCAGCAGTTACAATACAAGCTACAACTTTATCATGTAATTGTCATTCTCACCTCTATCATATAATTTATCCGGATGGAAAGCTTCTAAGTAAGCAGGATTGACTTTTGACGTTAATGACTGAGATACACTATATCCATCTGCTTCAAAAGCATCCAGTTGAACATCAAGTAAAAATGTTGAATGATTAAATACGGGATCTATCTAAAAATTGATATCATCAGAAAGGAAGTGTCTACATAACTAAATTCTATTTGTATTATTCAAGCAGTTAATGTACTTGTTCAATTAAAGTATGCTGGAGATCAATTAAAGAACTCTCTAAAATCCAAACATCCGTCCAATTTCGTGAATTGACGAGACTCCCTAACCATTGTCGACCAATTAGTCTAATTATTGTTTTCAATGCCTCATATCGAGTAATACCGGGCGATGATTCAGTAACATTGAATAAATTTTCTCTGTAATTTAGTATTATTATACTGAAATCAATATTTCACCTCTAAAAATAATTATAACAAAATAGAGCTGTCTGATAGTTTACGTTATTGATATTAATCCTAAATTACCGCTGTTATCAGCGAATGGAACACAAATAATATCTAATTTAGATATCGGGAAGGCTACTGCAAATAACTCTTCAAATGCATCCACAACTAAACCAATCACTTTTAATAAATAATTTGGTACGACACTTTCACCGACTTGACTCCAAAAATTAACCGGTATTTTGTATTTTCCTACTTTTGTCATTCCAACAGATATCAGATGACCCAGAGCTAAAGCAAGACTATGAGGAGAAATCAATGGTGTCTCCTCAAACGTATCAATTATCCAACTATCAGATCTAAAGTGCAAAAATTATATTAGATTTTAAATTGAAAAAAAAAGTAGAATAAATTCACTTACAAATTATCAAAAGTACTATTGAGTGGAGTATTTGCCAAAACAATCATATTTTTAGGATGTGTGAAGGAAACTGTAAATTGAGCTTTTAGCTTGACATCATCAAAGATTGGAAATAATCGTCGAGCATTAATGGGTTTCAATCGACTCACCATTAACCAGCTTTTGAAAAAACAATAAAATTAATAATTTTAATTTAAAACTCTAATATAATATACCATGAGTGTTGACCGTAAAGGTTTCACAATTTAATTAAAATGTTAGCCACCTTTCAGTATCTTCATCGCTGAAATTAGCTACAAGAAAAGTACGGCTGTCAGTATAAGATTCAAAATCCATTTCAATCAAATAGATTCCTGGCTTGATAGGTGAGCTAGGATTAATCATGAGGATTCCATGTTGTTCATCAACGTCGCTCTTAGTGATATTAATCTCATGAATCACTGGTTCAGAAGTGTTCGAAGGAATTGGTGCATCTGACAGGTCTTTTGATGATTCCGATAAAATTGCAGAAACACTTTGATTATCAAATTGATTATCAAGAGTAGTCAAATTATTTGGATCTTTAATTGAATTATAAACAACATTAATAAGTATCTGATGTAAAAAATTGGTTGAAAATAATAAAAACGTGTTTCCAAAGGTAGTACCATTTTCTAATGAGAAAACATTCATTGCTAGATTCTTGTTATCAAAATTCATTCTCCATTTTAAAATTCCTATATTCTTATCTTCAGGCCATAGTCTTATCTTTGTAATGTTCATGCTTTTCGCATTGAGGACAATGTGTTGAAGATCCATGGTTCCATTGTACCGAAACTCTATAATGACTTGGCCCCGAACCCTTGAGACCTCATTATCCTCAACAATCGGCGTCAATTTTACAAGATACCTCGAGGGAAATACAGAAGTAGAAAGAAAATATTTGTTAGCATCAGCAGGCTCTGATCCTTCATCTTCAGCTATCAGAGCCGTTGTATCGTATACCTTGAAGAAAAAGTATATTTTATATTCTTTCAAATGATTATGTCGGAATCAAAATATTATTAAATAGCATTTAAAAATCTGAAATTCTTCAAGCAAATTTTTTTTCATATTAGTAAAAAAAGATTCGCTTTTTATGATTTTTTTTTCTAACACTAAAATTTACTTTTTAATTTGGACAATTGAAATGAGAACTTTATGTTGACATTAAATTAAAATTTTTTATTTTCTTTTAAAATAGATAGGGCGTAATTTTTTTTGTATATTAAAATACATTATTATTTATTAAACTTGTATCATATACTTTGCGTAATACCAAAGAATGATTTGTATAATTTCCTACCGCCATAAAGTTTAAGATTGAACAGTGATTAGTTTCAGAGTCTTTTAGTATCAAGATCAGAAGATCAAACTTAACTTTGATGTCAAACAAAATTGCTTTGAAAAAAAAAAGAAATAGATGAAGAAAGTTTATTCTGAAAGGTACTTATGACGAAGTTTATGCAGAAATTGCATTAAAAATATTTTTTAAGTCCTTCAGAAATGTTAATATTTGAGAGTATAAATTAGAATATTTATAAGAATTGTATTTCGAAAGATTTTAATAGACCTTTTTGCGAGGAACAGCTCCAGAATAAACTCCAACAAATCCTACTGCAACGAGAAGAAGAAAAATGACGGTGATAGCAATTGCAAGCTTTCTATGGGATAAAAAAAATCCCCCTTCTCTCTGATACTCTATTCCATTTGTTCCAGGTTCACTAGTCATAAATTCTTGTCGATTACTTGAAAACTGTGCCATGGTAGATGCTAAAATGATTAATCCATAATTTATTAATTATTTAAAAATATTTCTATATAAAAACTCTTAAGTATTCGTTGATCATTAAAAATGAAATCATAGCTTGTAAAGCAGTTGATAATGAAACACACTCGCGACTTGAACTGATGATTACTTAATCATGATTCGCAATCAAATAGCCAACGATTCCAAGTCACACTTGGAGTTGCAAGCGTGACGATGAGTTACGTGAGATATTCTATTGTCTTAGCCGCCACGAATAATAACAATGATGAGGAATCCAGCATAATTATTCCACGTGGTTTAATTAAATCTTCATTATTGTGCTTAAATTATGTCTACCTAAAAATATGGTTTATCATCAAATAAATATTAGATATGTTTAAAATTATATAATAATTTGTAGATAATTTGAAGGTTCTATAAATTATTTCCATAACATGATTATCAATTATTTTGTTCAATATTCAACGGTTAAAAAAGATGTGGAGAATGTTTCATTCGTACAAATACTTAGTAATTCATTTAATATAATAAAAAAAATTCCAATAAATGCATGTGTTAAATTCCGTAACATTTTTCTTTAGAATATGTATTTAACAACGAATTATTTTTTTTAATCAAATATTTTATGATAAAATATTTGAAATAATCACAATTGTAATATCTACGAGTGTAATACTTGTAACGATAACTTATTCAATTAATATAAAAGCAAAATAAAACTAGGGGCCTGGACACGACTGGTTTATCCAAGCTGCTAACTTCCCATTTAGTGCCCTCGATAAGTAAAAAAGATTTTACAATCTATATAACAATTCAAGTATAGTTATTCATTCATACTCTTCATATCAATAATTTTTAGATAAAATTCAAGTTAACATTTGTATTTTTTATTCTTAAAATAACCGAGACAAAAAATATTTGAAATCTCTTTATTTGTTATGTAAACTATCAATTTAATTTAAATGAAAATTGTATGAGTATCTTTTGTTGTTATTATCTGTCGAATAGAATTAGTTTGAAGTTAATATCTTACTTAGTTCTCAAGATATTGACCGAAAAAAATTAATTTGTAATCTTTTTTTTTATTATTACTTTTTTTATTATAAAAAAAAAAAAAATTGGTAGTTTATTTTAATGAAAAATTTATCAGTAGCTTTCAAATGGAATTGGTTTGGGATTAATATCTTTCGTAGTTCTTGAGTTATCTTTAGAGAATAATGGTTCACTAACATACCAATAAAAAAACAACCAAACGTTCAGACACACATACATACACATTATTTGAAAAATAGGTCTGAGCACACTTTATCTGTGCTAACACAACGAACTTTCCATTAGTAATTGTTTATAACAAATTTAAATAGTTGTAATCAATGTTTGTTGAAAACATCCAAATACATGTGATATACACACTACTTATTCAATAGATACAATTTTCAATTGTTTATAACAAATTCATATTGTTATAAACAATGCGTAATTGTTAAGAGTCATATTTGGTTGTAAACAATAATGTCTAGTCAATATCGACTTAATTTTCAAATGTAATTGTTGTTGTTTGACTTAAAAGTATTTTAAATATACGTATATATGTATATTTAAAATATAGCTATAGCTAATTTTTTCATTTTTTTATTAGTTATTTTTTTTAGGAATTTGTTCACATTCCTTTCAGATCTTCTTTACAATCATATCTTTCGAATTAATTTTGGTTGAAGTCGATATCTCAATCCGTTCTTGAGATATCGAAAACGAAAAAAATGCTGACGTCCGTACATACATACATACATACATACATACATACATACATACATACATACATACATACATACATACATACATACATACACATACATACATACATACATACATACATACATACATACATACATACATACATACATACATACATACATACATACATACATACATTATCATAAAAATGTCAGTATGCTTGCAAATATCTTGAAACGTGGAGATTTAATGAAAATTCAAATTGCACCAATCGACCTAATTACAATAACTTCCTAATGGGAAGTTAAAAATGATGAATTCGTACTCTGCTCACCTTGAAATTTAAAGATTCGTTAAAATTTCTAATTTGATTAATCGGATTTATTACAATAACTTCTGAATGGGAAGTTAAAAAGTTTGGATTTGTCAAAAACAATGGAAATCATTAAATCAAAATTAAGCATGTTATTGAAGCCACTTAAGCTGTGTTAATCTGGGATATCCAACATCATTTTATGTTTATAATCCTTCCAACTCTAACTACTGTGTATAATCGTCGTCCAATACTCGTTTATTCTTGATAAACATATCTGATATTTGATAACTCTACATAAAAGCTAATTTAAATACTTCTACGAATTGATAAAGTTCTTGAGAATGCCAGTTATAGCTCACGAATTAACCCAGGATAAAATGTATTCTCGTTTAAGCTAAAACATTCGGTTTATAATACTAATTCTACGAAAAAGAGTAAAAATTCACCGCATAAAATTAGATAATCAGTATTTAACAATTTTTATAGACGATAAATTTATATTTAAGTTGATTATAAAAAAATCCATTTTTGTATTTTATCGTAAGAATAGTTAATTATTAAAAAACAAATGCAAAAATAACTTACAATTACGACGAGCCCAAGGCTCCCATGTGCTCACTGATCCACGTCTCATTTTTATTCCGGTGCGACACAAAAAATTAAATTTTTCTAGCAAAAAAAAAATTGACAGTTTTATTGAATTTGATTAATTTGAGAATGAAAAAGTTATAATTGTCGAATGAAATATGTGTACAAATAACAAAGAGTAAGACGAGTTGATGTTGTAAGCAGGTAAAATGTAATTAGTCAGTAAACTAACTGCGTTATACGCAAATACTATTCGTTGGTCAATCGCGCCTGCCCCACCAGGCAAATATTGGTTTCACCTTGTCTGATACTATATTGAACGCTTCATTTTTCTTTCAGAATGGTTATTGATAATTATTATTAAGTAATACTATGCACGTTAAATACTCGGCAACGTCTTTATTATTTTGTCATGTATTTTGTGATAAATTTGAACACAATGATGGATAGTTTTTGTATCATTTATCGTTTACTGCCAACGGAATTTTATAATAAAATAAGTATTTGTATAATTCAGTGAAACTGATTACTCTAAGTTAATAAAAGAATTGTTTTTTAAACTGTATCTATAAATTTTTATCGCTTAATTGACATGATTAGTCATAAATCTCAATGATTTTAGGGAATTATTCAAATTCAAGTTTCTTAATAAATCCAAACATAGCAATTTAGATACGTCAGGTGACTACATTACATCCGTTGTGTTAAAAGGGAATTTACCGGACGCAATTGGAGATAGAAGTGTCAAGTCTCCATTGAATGTACCCTACGGATTGTTCCATTGACAAGACTGATTACACTGTGTTTCCTACTGGTGATGCGTGAATTCAACAATTGAATAATAGAACTGATAAACCAACGACCCATCCCTTAAATGTATTATTACTAGCGTCATGATCAAGTGGTTAAAAGCAAATTCGTGCTTGGACTTGATACCAAGTTGTACCAGTTACGCCTTATTTTTGATTCTCGAAGAGCACCAAGTTATTATGAATAGCTTCAAAACATTATTGGAGTAATAGGGAGAAGAATCAACTGTAGCTTACTGCACGTCTGTCTACTGTGGTACTTTAACGAGTTCGACGTTAGTTACTAAGCTTATTCGATGAGAAGTTACCCCATTAAAATCATCTATTGTTCAAAATACAAATTTGTTTACCTTTTTATTATTAACTTATGGTGATAATTAATATATTATTTTTTAAATGTTATCACGATATCAAATCAATACTAAAATGAGGATCATTAGTGTATTTTTATTTATATTGATTATTATTAATATTATCAAAGCAGATTTTGTTCCAAATGTAAGTGAATTTCAAATTTAGGAAGTTTATTTAATTTTTTTGATAATTAAAATATATCGTGTACATATTGTTGGATTCAGGAACGAACGCGGTCGAAAAAGAGTATCGATTTCAATGATGTTCTTAAACAACCAGCATTTAGAATGCCCAGAAGTTTTAAACCATATAATTATGAATTGGAAATTCATCCATATACTATCAATGATACGTTTCGAGGACGAGTTCAAATTTTTGGGGCTTGGACTTCGGATGGATCACGAATAAAACTTGATGCTGATCATTCTCTTCATATTATTCACGTTCACGTCGAATGTTTAAGTCCCAATAATACGTGAGTGTTTTTTTTTCTAAATAACATCATAAAAATTAAATATCATGTATTTTTTGTTTTGTGCCGATGCTTAAAAAATTGTATCGACCGGCTCAATTAAAGGAAGCCTATGGAAGTAGCAGGAATTGCACAATACGAGCACAATGATAAGAAACCGGAGTTCAACATTGACCTAGAACAGTGGTTTACAATTGGAAGAAAATGTAAACTTGACATAAATTATACTGGTAATATAACAAGCAGTGAATCTTATGGACTCTTTACAAATTCATTTTTAGATACCAAACATGAAATGCAGTAAGTGTATGAGTATTATTGTTATTTGTGTTTGAAGTATTTAGAAAACAATGATTCTAAAAAAATGCTCACTAATTCCATAAAATCACTATTTTCGCTTATTATTCGTATTTTCATATACAGCCAACCAAGATAATTATTTTTTATGAACAATAACTTGAAATTAAAAGTAAGCATTTTTTCAAAAGCGTAGTTAGCGTATTGTTCAAGTGTAGATTAGACTTAGATCTAGAAACATTACTATCAATTCGACCGTCACTCAAACGACGTACGATTGTTAGCACATTTATAGCGACTCACCTGCGTCTTGACAATGCAAGAAAGTTATTTCCATGTATCAATGAACCAGAGTATAAAGCAACATTTCAACTTATTGTTACCCGTCCAAAACATATGATATGCAGAGCCAATACACCGGTGTACAGAACAGTAGAGGTGTAAGTTGACATCAAATTAATAATTTAAATAATTAAATAATAAAATATGACTATTTTATGGAATTTTATCAGATAAAAAGAAATAGATACAAATGTTCTTATATAATAGGCCTGGAAATTCGAATCTGATGAGAGATATTTTTGAAAGAACACCTCCTATGTCAACTTATCAGCTTGCCTTCGCAATATTTGATTTTAAAAGTATTTCTCCAACGCTTTTGGTAAATCCTATTGAAGGTCAAAGTCCGCTGGAAGTTAAAGTATGGGGAAGAAAAGATTTTCTAAGCTCTTTAGAAAAAGTTCCGAACAAAGTTGTGACAATAATGAATTATCTTCAAAACTATTTCAACTATTCTATTGGTTTATCAAAGTTGGATCTCGTAGCCATGCCTATGTACGGTGCTACTAGAGCTTCTGATAATTGGGGTTTAATGTTTTTCAAGTAAGCCCGTTTCATTGATAAACTTATATATTAATACAATAAGAGACTTAAAGAAAGTTGCTTATTTGATAAAATACTTGCAGAGAGAGTGAACTAAGTAGTCCATTGATTTGGAACACTGTATATGAACTAATTTATCAGTGGATTGGTCAGCATGTCACCCCTTATAGATGGAGTGATGCGCAGATTAATAAAGCACTAAACTCTTTTTTAGCTTCGAAAATAACAGTTGATGTAAAATTATTCTTTATGAAATTTTGAACAAATTATGTTAAGGTAATAAAAAAAATTTCATTAAAAAATTCTAGATTGACCCAAACGAGATGGAAGGAAAATGGCCAATGACACTTCTCTACTCTCTATACTATGAATTTGGGAAAACCTTGCCATTTTCAAGAGTAGCAGGTATTAGACATGAAGCAACATCGGCAAAAAGTAAGCTTATAAATTACTCAAAACCTTATTCCATTTTTCTTTTAATAACTTTAAGTAAATAACGTATGATGGTGTTTATTTTATCTTTATTTTGCATGTACTATTTAAAATAATCTGTGCTATCTAAAAGTTTACTCTATAATTATGTGATTAATCTAAAATTTAATCACTTTCTAAATCTTTATTTTATTCTTACAGTTGAACTAGTGTTTCGTATGTTTAACTATACACTAGGAGAAAAAGTTTTTCAAAAAGGTGTTCAAAAGTTCATTCACGAGTCAGCTAAAAAGTAATTTTTAACCATTAACTTTTAATTAATATTAGACATAAGTTTAACTTGATAGAAACTTGAAGAGCTATGATAACATATCTCTTGAATAATAATGATATCAAAAATAATTTAACAGCTTATAGTTGGATTATTAAGTTGAATAACTTGCATGGCTTTATGTGTTTGTCTCAATAAAAACTCGGCATGAAAGTACATTTATATTTCAAACCTCAATTATAAGAAGACATTTACATTATAAAATAATTCTGTTTATTGTGTATCTATTAAAGTGCACAAGGAAAAAAATCCAAATGTTATCATTATACTCTTATTGAGTTTAAAAACTTTGCACAAGCATTGAGTTGATTTTCACGATTAAATTAGATACATAAATTGTATGATTACATGAAGATAACTTATGAAGAATCGAAAAAAATTTTGTGCATAGAAATTTTGTTTTTCAGTCACAGTTTTTATGGAAATGATATTTTTAATTATCTGGATACAGTAAGAAAAGAAAACAATATTACCCTTCCAAATGATTTGACCATCAGTAGTATTGCAGCGCCTTGGATAAACAGAGACCGTGTGCCGATAGTAACGGTAAATCGTGATTACGAAACCGGAAATATTAACTTGACTCAGGTATATGCATACTTAATTGTATACGATTTATTTCAAGGCAACTACTACAATTGTTCCATTACTACCAAAGTATTCCTGATGTAATAATATAAATAAATTGTAATCTATAGGCTGTTTTTCTACGAGAACCACGACCAACTTCTAATGAAAAAATGTCTTACCAGTGGGATATTCCAATTACTATAACTTCCCAAAATAACTTAAATTTTTCTCAACTGCAACCAGCACTGTGGCTATCAAAGAATGATCTCACAACAACACATAAGGATCCTGCGTCTAAGGACAAGTTCATCATTGTTAATCCTGAAGAAATAGGTAATTTCAACGATGCTAGTCATTGATTTTATCACAAGAATAATGGTATTATTAAAAAATTAGGTATGTTTCCGGTTAATTACGATTTATGTAATTGGAATTTGTTAAGTGAGTTCCTTCAAGGTCCTCAAAGAGAAATTATTCCCGCCTTAACTCGTGCTAAACTTCTACATGACGCTTGGAATATTGCTTATGCTGGTAACATTTGTTTTAAAGTTGCATTAAATATGACATTATTTTTGAAAAATGAAACAAGCCATGTCGTTTGGGAGCCATTCTTCACTATGATTGATCATGTTGGAAGAAAAATTCAAGTATTAGGGCACGTTTATCCTACTTTTGAAGTAAATCTTATGCAACTATTTTCACATTTAGTAAAATTACTTATTAATTAATTATCCTTAAAATCATTAAATAAATATTATCAGGCATACGTCTTCAGTCTACTTGAGCCTCTCTACAAAAATCAGCTCGGAGAAACTCCGCAAACTGATGAACCTTCATGGAAAACACACATGAGAGGATTAGCTAAAAATTTTCTATGTCGTGCAGGATATCGTCCTTGTATAAAAGAAGCTAAAGAACAATATAAAAAATGGATGGAAGATAATGAACCTGATAAAGGAAACCCGTAAGTGTCATATTCTTATTAAGTATGATAATGAATTTAATTTTATGAATACATAAAATGAAAGATAGTCAATCTGATAAGTTAATGCAAAAAAAAGTTAAAAATAGGTCTAAGCACACTTTCTCTGTGCTAACACGACGAACTTCCCATTAGTAATTGCTTATAACGAATTTAAATAGTTGTAATCAATGTTTGTTGAAAGCATCCGAATCCATGTGATATACACACTACTTATTCAATAGATACAATTTTCAATTGTTTATAACAAATTCATATTGTTATAAACAATGCGTAATTGTTAAGAGTCATATTTGGTTGTAAACAATAATGTCTAGTCAATATCGACTTAATTTTCAAATGTAATTGTTGTTGTTTGACTTAAAAGTATTTTAAATATACGTATATATGTATATTTATATAAGAACGAATCATGATATCAACTTCAACCAAAATTAATTCGAAAGATATTATTATAAAGAAGATCTGAAAGAAATTTGAACGAATTCGATCGAGCCGTTCTTTTTTTATAACAAAATAACTAATAAAAAAATGAAAAGATTAGCTATTTAAAATACTTTTAAAGTATAAGGAAAAATTTTTTCCAGTCAAATATGCCCGATTTTTGCTTTATTTGCGAGATATTACATAAAATATCTGGATTCATCAGAAAAATTAATTTTTAAATTAAAAAAAAAATATTACGCGGCTGGTTTTTTGGCTGGGAATTAGTTCATTACATTCAACGCATTTTTCTCTATAAAATGATCCCGGTCCTGACTTGTGCCATGTAATTTCGTATTAACCCTGTTTTTTGCTTCACATTAACTGGACTATTAAAAGTCTTCAAAAACTTTACTCACGCACGCAGTAACGCAGAATGATGCAACCAGTTTATCACGAAGGTGGACAAGATGTAGTAACACTTTATTACGCGACATTGCGTGTATAGGCAACATCTAGAAAGACTTTTAAAAATTCATCACAAAGTTACCTGTCTTACCGAATAACCTCATTTTACCCTACATTAGAATGAACTTAATTGCTAAATTGTCTAATTGTCAATGTCAAAATTAAGTTTAATTGACATGTAGCAAAATTTAATTACGTATATTCTTTTTGCAAGTAGAGAGAGTTTAAAGGATGAAGTTTTTCCATACGTGATGTTATCTATACTTATATCTATATATTAAAATTTATTATGGGGTTTACAGTGTTGCAAATGAATATATTTGCCCTGTATTCCGATGGGGTACGATGGAAGAATGGGAATTTGGACTACAACGAGCGATAAACTTCCCAAAAAATACTGAGAGGAAACAAAATGAACGAACGTATTTACTAAAAACTTTAGCTGGTTGTCCGTTAGATCAAAGGAAAATTGAAAGGTAATAAAGATTAAACTGTTATTATCAGATTTAAATTTATAGTTTATGTTGAAATATTTTTATATTTTAATCGATAAATTTTTTCAGATTATTGAATGTAACTATTTTAGATCAAAATTCAAATTTCACAGACTCAGATATTCAGTTAATTTACAGTACCTTAAGTGGTAGTACCACCGGAACTGTAATTTTGTTTGATTTTCTTGTACGTCATTGGACAATAACAAAAGAAGCTTTCGGGAAAAAAGAACATCTTTGGAATGGTATTATTAATTCAGCCACATCATTCAGTACTCAAGAAGGATATGATAGAGTATCTCAGCTCTATGAAGATCGTCAAAAAAAAGGAGATTCGGTTGCTGCTGTGCTCGGAGATATTATGGTCGACTTAGAAGAAAAAGTAAATTGGCATAATGAAAATCTTCCTGCTATAGGGAATTGGTTGAATAGTCATGTTAAAAAACGTCCCTCAGCACTTATGACTTTGAGTACAGAATCATAATGTACTAATGAGACATGAAAATTATATCAAGAAAAGTAAGAAAAAATATAGATAGGACCAAAATAAGATATTTAAGTACAATGTGTGTATATAATAAGAATTAGCAAAAAAAGTAAATCTGAAAAAAACATCTTATTATTCAAACGGATACAATCGAGTATGTAAAATATTATTTAAGTAATTGAACAAAGAAATAAATAAATCTTTTTTATATTATCACAAAATTCGTATTCATTAATTTAGAATGTTGTAGGCCAAACTAATTTATCATATCCTCGACATGTCTTTTAATTGTTTTTTGCTATTTCGCGAGAGCTAAGAAAAATAATTTCGAAGCAATAGTAGATAAAAGAGATACAGGGGGAAGAAATTATACGGTGAACCTGAATAGAGATGCGAGCATGACCAAATTGGTCATTTATGACCGTCATGTCACGGTCATGAGACCGTCAGCTGACCATCAATAAGATGACTTACCATCGGATTAATCACGACATTTAACGGATAATTGTATGACACTCTAGTAGCCTTTATCCTTTTTATCGACAATTATTTATATTTAGAATTGTAACGTAACATAACGCAAGGTATGTAAATAAAATAATATTAGAGATTTAAGATATCAATAAGCTTAAAAAATAGATGTTTTAATTATAAATTATTCTAAAACTATTGGTATTGAATATGAATAAGTTGATTCTTATGGCACAGTCTAGTCGTTTTTTTTGAAGATATTTTTTCAATCTTTCTTTCATATTTTTATATTCTTCAATAGCATTCACTTGTTGAACGTGATTAAGAGAAGCAATTGCCTTCATTCCTTTTTCATATTAAGATTTTGAGCTTTGTAATTTTCCAGTGTTACGTCTCAGTAACTGAATAGTCTTTTTTTCGAGTCAAGACCCAATCGTTCTCTACTCACCATGGGTGCGGAGACCACGCAGAATATACTTTAGATGGAGAATTAAAGAAATAAGAAAGGTTCTTAGTGCTTTACAAACCACACTGGTGCATTTATTTTTCTCAAAAGAAGATAGAGATTTGTGTTTATGATAATCAATTCTTTATTTAATTTCTGTCATCTTTTAACTCACTAAATTGTGTTACAGCTTAGCTAACTGGTAGCTAGGTAGCAGAAGGTTGTATACGCGTGGAAGGCTGCAGTTGCTTGGTTTGGTTGACGCTTCGATTCTTGGCTCTCGGCGATTTTATGGTTTTATGGCTGTCTTGGTGAAAGGTTGTCGTTGCCTCGTTGGAAATCTTCGTTAAAGCATTCTAGTTGACTTCTTTCTTCTCACACTCCCGATTTTTGTTTTAATAATATTTGTTAAAAGATAAAGAAAAATGAATTTAAATATGCAATTTATTTGAGAGAAAATCCACGTAGGATTATGTAATCTCAAATGACTGTATTTCAAGCCCAAAAATTTATCTTTGAATTTTAAAGTTAAGTCAAGAATTAATTAAAAAGTATTCTGAGTTTGAAAAAATCAAGCTGAGTTTGGATTTGCACCGTGCCCAGTAAAAATTTGGAAGAGAGTGTCTCTTGTGTCCAAGTCCACGCTTTCTAAGGTGCTTTTCGCACATCCCTTGGAAGCTTCTAGATTGGCGTTCTCCAATCCAAAGTTTTAATTAATTTAATTATTTAGGCCTAGCCCGAATTTGCTCCAATCATCTACGCAATTTTTCCCTTCTCCTTTTGATCAGTGTCCGACGCATCTTTTGGCTCTAGTGCCCCCCACGCAGGATTCACCTGTGCTTACTTAGCATGCGCCTCGAAGCTCTATGTCCCCCACATGGTTTTTACCTGAGCTGCCTTTGCGTAGATCCTTTTCCTGGCGTCTCTATTTTTTTATTATTGATTTACTTTTATTCCTTTGCTTCCACCGCTTTGTTGTTAAAGTTTTTATTAATAAAAAAAAATACTTAGATTCAGGTTATAACACCAGCTCCGTCATAAGCTTGCACGCTATGAGTTGGATCAATCAGAAATGAAACCTTTTGTTCTTCATATATTTTCTTACAGTTATCACAAGTATGAAGCAATGATCTCCATCCTTCGGACCAGAAACAAGAACCAGTACATTGTTCAGAGGGTTTTGCAAGTTTAGTATACTTTGTCTTATATCATCGAACTAGATGCGAATGGCCAAATTGATGACCACTCGGTTATAAGTGACCAAATTTTGAATTACGGTCCAACTCACCTAGTTAAATGCAGATGACCAAAAAATTCCTAACGGTAAATTGGCATTTCAAAACCAGCGGTCATTTGAGACAGTCGGTCACACGACGGTCATCCTGCATCTCTAAACCTCGAAACATTGAAAAATCGACGATTCTAAAGTGATCCTCGTTTCCAGTTCCTACATGTCGTTTTTCGACTTTTCAGCCCCGGATGCGGACTTGGATTTCGGTCTCCCGTAGTACCAGTTTTTTCCGCTTTGGTCGGCAGCCTTAGTTGTTTATGGTGTGAGGGGAGACCCATTATATTGTCGACAGCTGAAAGAAATGTTTAGTGTTAGGTGTTTCCTGACATATGTAAAAGTTTTCATTATTATTGGAGATTACTAAGTAAAGTGAAATGGAGAATAAAATCCCTATCCGTTTGATCCACAGGCCCTCCTCTTTTCTCTCAACCCCTCGCGAATTCTTTCGATTTCCTCGAACAATTTCTCTTCCGCACACGCCTTGGTTCTGAAGTGTTCAAATCCTTGCTTCCCCCGTCTGAAGGCCGGAAATTGAGTACCTCGCCTACTAGGGCATAACTCTGGGAAATTATAACTCTATTCTCTTCGCGATGGCGTTTCCCGGGACGCGTATACCTGCACCTTGAAACAGGCACAGGGATACACGTAACAAGTCCGAGGTCTTACGACATACCACTACGAGTCCGACCTCAATTGGCCAGTTGTACCTAGTCCTACATATCATATTTCGATTTTGCAGCCTCAGGCACAGGGCTTGGAATTTGGCCTCTCGTAGCACCAACTTTATCCGCTTTGGTCGGCCGTCGCTAACTTGTCTCGCACTCGGCGTGTTCGGAGTACCTATATTCAGACTACCCTATAGGGCAGTACGAACTATAATCTTCCCCCGTGTTACGCGACATATCTTGGAGGACAGAAACATCTATGTAAACCCGGGGGGCACGTTCTGAAGTGTTATACTAATGCTGCTTTTCTTGGGAGCCTTCCCTGAAGTTACAGCGCAATCTACTGCACTGACGCTCGAAGCATAGACGTCGCCCGCCAACATCATAGCCAGAATAACTAACCGTTGAGAGGAATTCAAGATAATCCAAGCTTGTTATTTACGGAAGTCTGTATGGCTCACCTCCCTCTCGATGAAAAGTGGCGCCATATCGTGACCACTTTCAACATGTGTGCCCGAGAATATGTCGAAAATAGAGAGAACGACATGACCACTTGCAACAGATTCCCATTATCTTTCCTCGCACACGCGTGTGTGCGAGAAAGGGATTCTCGCGTTCACATGTTGGATGTGGAGTGATATGAGTTAGGACAGCCAAAGAATAATATTGAAAACAATTCGTTTATAGATCATTTATATTGAGATATGAATTTATAATTGAGAGTTAAAACGATTGTTAATGATGAATATTATTAATAAGCTTGAATTATTAATTAATGATTAATTAATAGTTAAATTATACTATCATTTACAGAATCATAGCTTGAAATCATAATCTGGAAATATTTGACCATAATTTAATTTTATGTGACTTAATTCAATTTTTATAATAAACAAAAAGAATAAACATGTTTAATTATTGGAATAAAATACAGTCATCATACGAAAATCATACAGTCATTAACGGCAAGGATAATTCATCGTAAACCTTTTCTTCTCATATATAGGCTTAAACATATAAAAGTAAGAAAAAAACTATATTTTTCAACAAACATCATAAAAGAATTACACATAGAAAGGCGTAAAATAGGTAAAATATTTAAGGGGCAAAAGAAGATAGACACAACTTGCACGGAAGCATCCAGTACAGAAAATAAGTGACAGAAAACATGATTTTTTCACTTTTTAAATTTTGTAACTTTTTTTTTAATATTAATATTAAAGAATAAAAAATTGGCAGACTAATAGAGAATAGTCTGATCTATAATTGCATATACTTGAAATAATTAAAAACCGCGAATCAGCTCGCGGACAACATGGTTTAACTCAAAATTCATGGAAGCATTATATTGGATAATTTTTTAATTCTTCATATACAGATGAAGGCAGAGCTTATAATTCTCCCATTTTCGCAATTTTCTCTTCTCCTATCTTCGCGAAAAAACAAAGATGGACATGATGCGACCATAACCTCACATTATCTCTAGTAACTAAGATCTATCGTCAGAATTGTTGACAGACTCACGTACGTCTGTTTCCTTCCTGCGGCAGCATCTGACGTCTGACATTGATCTTATGTTGATCTTACGTTAGGAAACCAAAAGACAGCAACATACGTAAGTCTGACGGCAGTCTGTTACCTAATGGCTACAAGGGATGTAGTTTATAGATACATGGTATTTAGATTTCCTCTAAGTTAATTTTAGTTACTTTTCAATTTGTTATTTTTCTTTTAAAAAATGTAATTTTTTGTCACATCACCGCGGAAAGTTCGATTTCCCTTCCCTCTGTCGGTGAACGAAAGTACGACTTTTTCATGCATACGGAAACAAAATTGATTTTTGTGCGCATGCGCCACATTTCTGACGCATTCGTCGTAACACGCATCTGACTCAAACACATGTGCATCGCATCTAACATTGCTCGATTCACGTCCAAACACTTTACGAAAATAAATTTCCAGATTAAATTGTTATTTAGCAATACTTCGTTAATGGACAAAGGGTAGGAAAGTTGAACGCACTGATGAAATTTAACAAAAATATTATGAAAATTATAGGAAATAATTTATTTGAAAATATTGAAATAGTTCAAACAAAGATTCCAAAAAACACAAACTTTTACAGATTAATTTTAATAATTAGATGATAAATAATTCCAATTACAAATAAAAGAATTAACTAAGAACTTAAATTTTCAATGATAATTTAAAATGTTTTTTAACGATAACATGAATACGTGATGAATTAATATTTGAGTTTAATAGCCGCTTATTCATTCTTTACCCTTCGGATTTTTTCCATAATATATATTAATTGTTTCTACTTTATCAATTTTAATATTTATTATAGCTAGTATTTCCTCTTTTATTTTGTTATTATTTTTATCATTATTTTTTTTCTTTAAATCATTTGTTGATTTTATCTGTATAGTTGGTGGTTGGAGTTGATCAGCTTCTGAAATATTTGGATTATGCCCTGATATGTGCGAGTTCTGATTGTGTCCATCTAAGCCATCCACTTGTTCCAATTGCTTAGAAGATCCAATATTTAATGTTGTTTCTTCATTTACTATTTCAAAGTTATGGTCAATATTAGTGGTTTCTTGAAAATCGTGTTCCATTATATTAGAATTGTTATTATTTTTATCTAGAGTTGTTTGTTCTTTTATTTTTTTATATGTTGGAACATTTTTATAATTTTCTATTGAAATTAAAGGTCTTTTTTGATTATTGCTTGACTTCGTTGTATGACAATTAGTTTCTAATATTGACTTGTTAGTCTGTATTATTGCTGAATCGAGATCTTTTGTTACAGTACAAGATTTTTCTGATTGTGTTATTTTATTAAAAATATTATTTTTGTTGAACAATGAGTGCCGCAGATTGTCTAGTACTGTAAATGCCATAAAAAATATATCAATTTAAAAATTCTATTCTATATGGCAAAAAAAAATATATAATAAAAATTATACCTTTTTCAACTCTCTCCCAATTCATTAAGCATGTGTTTTAGTATCTCTTGTTCAAATTCGAAATTTTAGTGATTTGTTCCTCTTTTTTTTTGTAATAATTCTTCTAGCTTTTTTATGGTTCTCTCATATATTTTTTTGCATCAGTGATTTCCTGCTTGAGTGTATCATAATCAGTTTTCCTATTTGTTATTTCTTCCTTCAACTCCAGACATTTAAAGCAATTATCTTCAGACTGCAAACAAAATCTTTGTTACAAAATTGAAATTTATTCTTTGAAAAACGAATGTATTTTATATATTTCTGAAATAAGTTTTAAATAATTTATTAGTAGAGTGTCATCAACAAAATTATCATTTTCTCCTTCGTCATGGTCAAGTTCCATTTTCTTCTTTTTTTAAGGTTTTGAAGACGCTTTTCGATGTTATCGTTCATTTCATTACTATCCTTCCGGTTTATGAGTACAGTTGAATCACTCTCCGGTTCGCTTGCTTCTGTTGCAGTTTCCAAATGTTTCGGTGGTATTATTGAGATGCGTTTTTTTAATTGTAACTCCAGCTGTTGTTGTGTATCTGGAAACATGGAATAGTATAAATCTATATTAAAAATATCGTTTTTGCATTATCATAAAAATTATGTACAGTTCCTGACTACAATAGATAATTTATCCTGAGTCGAGAAAAAATTTGCGTCAAATAGATTAAGAAAGATCAGATTGTTGGAAAAAGTTAAATTTACTATTATTGATGATAATAATAGTTGTGTTATAAGTAATTCGATTCTGCTTATAATTACACTTGTGTTAAAGTAACAATCTATAAATATAAAATTGAATAATACTTGCATCGATGAAAGTATCTATCATTATGATGACATTTATCTTATTGGATTTATTATAATTTATTCAATTATAGATTACTTCATTGCTCTTAGTTATTGAGTTAATATAATATTTATCTGAATTGAGATCCAATCCATTTTCGTTTATTGGGCGCTGTTATTACTTATATTTTATGTAATTTTTTTTTGATTGCAGAAAAAATTAATAAAAACACGGCAAAAAAAGGAAATTTAATGAAATTATAAGAATGATTAAGGGAAATGATCTTGATGAAAACGAATCGACAAGACAGACATTAGAGCCTCAGGTTGGTTAGTGAAATTATTTGATTTTCAGTCATTTTACAGTTATTTAAAATTATTGTTTTTTTCATAGATGGTTAAAACGAAGTCTATAGTAAAAACCGTTTTTCATCGGATGGAAGTATAGAGAAATATCCGTCAAAAATACACCCAAATTTGAAGTTTATCAATATATATAGAAAACACTCATGAAGAAATAAACGAAAACTCCATGAATTTATCAGACAAAGAGTGCAATTTCTGGAAGTTTAGTTCGAATATTTGTTCAAAAAATTTACAATTACCATCTCTTAAAGTCAAATATTCTGATCAAATGGACATTTCAAAAAATAGGAAATCAAACTATTTATCTCTTACAAATAGCTACTTCCAGAGTGAAGACACTCAGCAAACTAAAAATAATCAACCGGAGACTTTAAATTATACAATACCTCGTATAGAGAAAGACGACATCGAGTTTACAGGCAAGATAATAGGTGAGGGTGTATTTGGATGGGTGGAGTTAGCTATCTGGCTTGATATGGAAGTAGCGGTGAAGAGTATGAAATCATCTCATTATGAGAAATACTTGCTACGAGAAATTAATATAATGAATAGAATTCATTATCCAAATATAATTTGAATCATGGCCGTATCCTTCACTGACATATACACTTATATTGTCATAGAATATTTTGAGAGTGTAAATTTACACACTTGCATTTTCAAACCCGAAGTAAGACAAGATTATCAAATTAATGAGTCTCAAAACTTCGGATAATCATTCATATATGTAAAACTATCACTTATCTTCATTAATTGAGTCCAACAGTAATACATGAAGATCTCAAACTTAAAAATATCTTTATTAATGAACATAATTTAATAAAAATATGTGACTTACGATTGAGTAAAATGAATGATATGCCTTCTGTATTAAACAATCGGAAATAATTTTCGTGGAACACTGTTATATATGGCACCGGAAATCTTGATCAAAAAACAACCTAGTACAATTTATTCCGACAAATGATAAAAAAAATAGAGAAAACGAAAAAAAAACCGGACTTGTTAGAATTAACTATTGTAGTGCAAGATATTTTAAGCGATTTCTTTGATCATAATCCTAAAAAAAGCTAAAAGCAAATAATTTATTTAAAAAATTTCAAAATTTACATACTAATTGATGTTGATTTTTACTTGAAAATAATATCATGAGTTAAAAAGATATTATAAAGTTTTAGAATTATTGAAGTTTAATATTTTCATAACCATACTACAATCTAATAAAATATATATAGATACGAATTAGTAATAAGGGTTGTTTTCTGTTTATTTTTTTTAGTGACTAAAAAAGGTTTTATGTAATAAGAATGCATTTCTGAGAATCGAAAAAAAATGGTTCGTTACGCTCCCAATTTGTTATTATTCATTCTATGTTATCCACACCTGGGGGTTTTCGGAGCATCTAGGCACAGGTTGCAGGTCTGAAATCTTCACAGAACATCTGTAACCTGCGGATCAAACGAATAAAGACTTTATTTTCAATTTTTCTTGCGGTTTTTTTTTCTTTTTATCTTTTTCACTTTACTTTCAGGTATTCAATAATCAATGCAATATAATTGGTGCTTCCCGTCACCCCATAAACAACTGGGGCCGCCGAACAAAGTGGATAAAACTGATACTACGAACTTGCTACTTGTTTTCAGTCAATTGAGGTTCGACTCGTAGTGGTATGTTGCAAGGCCTTGAGCTAGATGCGTATATCCTGGGGCATTTTTTGAAGGTTCGAGAATATCACGTCCCAAGTAACACAATCACTAAAAGTAGAGCCACTCCCAGAGTTATGCCCTATAAGGTGAGGTACTTAAAATGTCCCTCTCAGGGCAGGAAAACAAGGACTCGTTACATAACAGCAATATAAAATGGAAATAACAGTGTTTACTGGGATATTAATAATATTGAAAATTGAGTAAATAATGGAAATAATTTCGTATTTTAAGTACTTCTAGCACATAGGAGCAGATTTTATAGAGAATAATCTTTTATAACAATCTTTTCTATTATAATTTCGGTATCCAATTAATACAATGCTAAGAAGAAGAGGAAAGGAATAGATTACGGAATGTTAGAAAAGCTCGAACCTATTCAATAACACAAAATCCTATTGAGGTTTTATTAATAATTAAAAAAATTTTTAAATCGTATTTCTCTATTGAGATCCGTTCATCTCCGATTGGATGTTGAAGTACTCAATCCTATTGAATAATATAAAATCCTATAGAGGCTTAATCGATAATTAAAAAAATTTCTAATTCGTATTATTCTATTCAATGACTTAGTTTTCTATTCAAGTATTTAATTTTATTTCCTATAGAAATTCTTTGTTTCCTATAGAATTGCTAACTACTTTTTAGAATCATCATAACCCTATTCAGTTATGTGAATAGAAGCGTTAATAATCTTACAGGTTTTACAATCGCTTTTTTTCTACCTATTCAGACTTGTGTTATCCTATTAGCCATTTTGCGAGTGGCAGAAATTTCCCAATTTTTCCTATTCAAATTTTGAAAAAGACCATATTATTTATTCTTTTCAATAGGAATGGTTAAACAGGGTATTTACTGGATAAATTACAAATGTTTTTTGTTAATTAATACTATAAATTTGACTGTTAATTTTGAAGATAACTTTCATATGAGCCACATTGTAAACGTGAAATGCATGATTATGTTTTCGAATTATTGATCACGTTCTTCGTAAGTATTTGCAGTACAGAAGATTGGAAAATTAAATGATAAAGTTGAAATTACTTTCTCTCTCTCTCACTCTCATTTACGAAAATGTATGAAACTGTATTTCTAAATATGATTTCTTCATCGAAATGCCCGATGACTGAGCTTTTTTTGGCTTGTAACTTGTTCGTGACAATCTTAAGAACATTATATTTCAATATTTATTTTATTCGAAGACTTTGGCCGAGTGCTACAACTACCTTAATATCAATAAGCGTTAGATTTTAAATTTCACAGTAGAATTTGTCTGATAGCATCAAAAAAAAGTGGCTGATGATTTTATGAATACTCTGATAACTTGACTCTGATATTCGAAACATTTTCGTGAATGAGAGTGAGATGAATATATCTCAATAGGGAAATACCAGTTAGGAATTTTTTTAATTATTAATAAAACCTCAATAGGATTTTGTGTTATTGAATAGGTTCGAGCTTTTCTAACATTCAGTAATCGATTCCTTTTCTTTTCTTCTCAGTATTGTATTAATTGGATACCGAAATTCTAATAGAAAATATCGGGATAAAAGATTTGGTGAATAAAATCAAAACACCTTTTGATATAAATCAGATTTATTGTATAAACGAAAAGAGACTTTTATAAATCATTGATTAATTTTTAGTAATTGGATTGTTAAATTTCCAAGCAAATTAGATACCATCTTGGTCAACTTATTATCTGATACATCCGAAAAATACGTAGTATCGATAACATTTGTAATGAGAGTCTATAAATCAAAACAGGAATATTTATCGCGAGATTGCAGCTAGATAGCCAATACGAAATCAATAAGAATGTAAAAAAGATAATACATTTAGGTTTAAATTTGAAGTTAAAATTGCTGATAGAAAATATTGTCACAAGAAAACACCAACAAAGAAACCTCGCGAGGTAGTCATCGTTGATTTAGCTGAGGTTTCTATATAATAATCTACATCGAAAATAATGAAGCACGTTTTTTTTCGGCGTAAAAACGATTCGAAGAAGTAAACATCACCCCTCTAAGTTAATACCCTATAAAAGTGATTTTTAATTTTACATATTACTAATCAAAATTTTCCAAAACGACCTTATACGTTAAAAACAACATAAAAAATAGGTCTGAGCACACTTTGTGCTAACACGACGAACTTCCCATTAGTAATTGTTTATAACAAATTCATATTGTCATAAACAATGCGTAATTGTTAAGAGTCATATCTCATCATTAATCATATTTTTTTGTTGAAGGCGTCCAAATCCATGTGATATACGCATCAGTTAATCGACAAATACAATTTTCAGTTGTTTATCACAAATTCATATTGTTATAAACAATGCGTAATTGTTAAGAGTCATATTTGGTTGTGAACGATAATGTTTAGTCAATATCCATTTAATTTTCAAATGAAATTGTTATTGTTTGGCTTAAAAGTATTTTAAATAGCCAATCTTTTCATTTTTTATTATTTATTTTGTTATAAAAAAAGAACGGCTCGATCGAATTTGTTTAAATTTCAATTTGTTCTTGAGATATCGCAAAAGAAAAAATGCTGACGTCCATACATACATACATCCATACATACATACATTCATCCATACATACGTACACACACATCATTCTAAAAATATGTCAGTATGCTCGCAAATATCTTGAAACGTGAAGATTTAATAAAAATTCAAATTTCACCCATCAACCCAATTACAATAACTTCCTAATGGGAAGTTAAAGATGATGAAAAATACCTTTATTTATATATTCATAAAACTTGCGATTGTACGTTTTTCTTTAAATAAAAATAACAAAAAATTTATATCTCAAAAACTATCATTTATCTTTTAATACAACTTATTTCAATCGAACGAGTACAAAAAATTACGAGATACGTGTCTACACAATTTTTAAAATAACATTAACGACAGTAAACAAAATCACAATTTCAAAATTTTCAATTGTTATTGACACATTAATCACCGAATCAAATACGTCGTAATTAGAGACTAAATAGTTTACGATTAGTCAAAATATTTTTTTTTGTTATCGTCATGTGGGCAAACATCGATATAATTCTCGTTAGAGTCACCAATAAACTGTTTTTAAGGGAAAATATTTCTGTAATTGTAATATACGGAGTATTCAATGCTGGTATTTTGAACAAATGTGACATATTTTAATCATTGTAAAAACTGTAACATTATTTTTTCGTATTCATCTTCAATACTGTAGTGAATGGATATTTCTGCATCTCGTATTCATTTTGATTTTGGTTAATAGCCATTATTTTATATCGTGTGCTCGAAATAGAAATATTATTCTCTTTTATTTTTGAAATTGTGTAACACTCAATAGTTGGAAATAAAGGTTAACCCCCTTAATGTTATTCGGTTACTTTTAACAACATTTCAAACTATGAATATCAGTGCTCTGCAGTGGTCTGGGTGCGACCCGAAAGGTCCACATGACCAACTACCCAGTGGAAAAAATGAAAAAACACCTGAATAGAATCCGTTTCTATTCTTTATAGCAAATGGGATTGTTATGAACAAAATAAGTGTGTTTTTATTCATTTGATATGGTTAGTTACTTCATTTCAGTAAAAGAAAAAATTGTGCGTTAGAAGAATTCAAATATACCTCATAGATCCTTTTTTTTCATTATTTATAACAAAGTTCATTGTTATAAACGGAAAAAGTATGTTTTTATTTATGTCATACGGTCGGTAACATTTTTTTAATTAAAGAAAAAATTATGCGTTAAAAGTACTCATATACATAGCATAGATCCCTATTTTTATTGTTTATAACAATTTAAAACTTTTTATTTAAATATTACTATGATCAACAATCATTTGTCATTAACAATGTTCAATTATTATGAACACGATTCCATATTATCAATAATCAAGTTGCGCAATTACGTGTCGAATGCAGTTGGTTCCACGTCGATATCATTTTTTGTTCTCTAGATAATCAAGGCGAAAAGTAACTTCAAACGCACATACGTACATACACACACAGACGTCGACTGGAAAACTGTCGTATTCGACTCTAGGGACCTTGAAACGTGGAGACATGTCAAAATTCGGAATTCGCAAAATCGGACCCATTAGTATAACTCCTACTTCTAAATTTATCTACTTGCACCAAGATTTTCTTTATTGTTACTGTGAAATTCATAAACTATCTGCAGTATTGTTGAATCATTTTTGATAAACTTTAGGAATTCCTATATTTTATTCATGTTGTTTACAGGAAAAATGCTGATGACATTATTTGTCATGCGAAGTAAAACGAAACTACTGTTATTCTATAAATGCACACAAACTCTAAGAAAAAATCTTAAGATTTCTACCAGTCTCTATTTCGACAATAATACAAAGTCATTATATAATTTAGTATCAGGTATTATTTGAAAAATTAGAACTATTAACTCATTTTTGAATTAATTATCCACAGCTTGGCCCAATTTTAGAGCTAAATATCGAAAGCAACCACGATCAATTCCGTCCATCTTTGCATCGAAGAATTAGGCGAAGTCGTGGAAAATTTACCAAAAAAAAGTTCATAGTTCTAATTATAAAGAAAACTTAGGAACTAACAATTCAATTACTACCGATAGTGAACGAATCGCAAAATAAGAACGATTGTACAACTTGTTCTTGGATTTTATGTGCAATTGTAGAATGACGGCAGTTTCATTTTACTTCACATGATCAATAGTAAAATCATCGTTTTTCCGGCAGACAACACGAATACAACATAGGAATTCCCATAATTGACAAAAGAGAAACACCAACATAACGTTCTTACGATCACGATTCCACACAACAAAAAAAAACAATTCCAATATTGGGTAAAATATACTAAAAATTACAGCAAAAACAAAGTAATAGGGAAAAAAAGATAAAAAAAAAAATATCTAAAAACTTGTTTGATGTAAATGATCCAACAGAAAATAATAACAAATAAAAAATTTAGATCACAGGAAAAAAACAACGTAAAAAGTAGACCAAAATATACAACAACAAACAAAAAAAAAAAGAACAGAAATGAAAGATGTGTACAAGAGTGTGGAAAGCAACTAAACAAACAAGAGGATACTCTGTGCGACAGCAGTGATATTGGACAAGACATAATAACGAAAAAAGATTCAGAACACAAAATATACAATTCGACAAAATAAAATAAATAACAACATGGAAGAAACAGAATAACAAAAAACAACCCAAAGAAATGTAAACAACAGATAAAAATGAACACTGAATCAGCGGTATATAAAAACGACGAATGCAAAGTAATAACGGTACAGCAGCTCAATCATGGTAATAAGAAAGAGCGCTGCGATAGCCGGGTATTTGGCAATAATTATCGTAAGTGTAGCAAGCAAAAATATACAACATGTACTGACACAACCAGCCCTTGACAAGTATGAAGTAGATCTTATAATTGAAACCGAAAATGGAAAAGGACCGACGAAGGAAATTAAAATAGATCTAGGAACAATAGCAGACATCGAACTCAACACAGATAAAATTGTTACAATCCGAGAAAGCGCTGGAGAATGGGAGGTAATTGAAGAAAAAATCGACGAATCGGTATCACGTAGTGGTGCATCATCTGGATCACAAAGCGCTGCTGACTCTGCCTCACGCAGTGCTGCTGCCTCAGCTTCACGTAGTGGCGCTGCCTCAGCTTCACGCAGTGGTGCATCATCTGGATCATGGAGTGGTGCTGACTCTGCCTCACGCAGTGCTGCTGCCTCAGCTTCACGTAGTGGCGCTGCCTCAGCTTCACGCAGTGGTGCTGACTCTGCCTCACGCAGTGCTGCTGCCTCAGCTTCACGTAGTGGCGCTGCCTCAGCTTCACGCAGTGGTGCATCATCTGGATCACGCAGTGCTGCTGCCTCAGCTTCACACAGTGCTGCTGCCTCGGCTTCACGTAGTGGTGCATCATCTGGATCACAGAGCGCTGCTGCCTCAGCTTCACGTAGTGGTGCATCATCTGGATCACAAAGTAGTGCTGACTCTGCCTCACGCAGTGCTGCTGCCTCAGCTTCACGTAGTGGTGCATCATCTGGATCACAAAGCGCTGCTGACTCTGCTTCACGCAGTGGTGCATCATCTGGATCACGCAGTGGTGCATCATCTGGATCATGGAGTGGTGCCGACTCTGCGTCACGCAGTGGTGCATCATCTGGATCATGGAGTGGTGCTGACTCTGCCTCACGCAGTGCTGCTGCCTCAGCGTCACGCAGTGGTGCATCATCTGGATCATGGAGTGGTGCTGACTCTGCCTCACGCAGTGCCGCTGCCTCAGCTTCACGTAGTGGCGCTGCCTCAGCTTCACGCAGTGGTGCATCATCTGGATCACAAAGCGCTGCTGACTCTGCCTCACGCAGTGCTGCTGCCTCAGCTTCACGTAGTGGTGCATCATCTGGATCACGAAGCGCTGCTGCCTCAGCTTCACGTAGTGGTGCTGCCTCAGCTTCACGCAGTGGTGCATCATCTGGATCACAAAGCGCTGCTGACTCTGCCTCACGCAGTGCTGCTGCCTCAGCTTCACGTAGTGGTGCATCATCTGGATCACGAAGCGCTGCTGACTCTGCCTCACGCAGTGCTGCTGCCTCAGCTTCACGTAGTGGCGCTGCCTCAGCTTCACGCAGTGGTGCATCATCTGGATCACGCAGTGCTGCTGCCTCAGCTTCACACAGTGCTGCTGCCTCGGCTTCACGTAGTGGTGCATCATCTGGATCACAGAGCGCTGCTGCCTCAGCTTCACGTAGTGGTGCATCATCTGGATCACAAAGCGCTGCTGACTCTGCCTCACGCAGTGCTGCTGCCTCAGCTTCACGCAGTGGTGCATCATCTGGATCACAAAGCGCTGCTGACTCTGCCTCACGTAGTGGTGCTGCCTCAGCTTCACGCAGTGGTGCATCATCTGGATCATGGAGTGGTGCTGACTCTGCCTCACGCAGTGCTGCTGACTCTGCCTCACGTAGTGGTGCTGCCTCAGCTTCTCGTAGTGGTGCATCATCTGGATCACGAAGCGCTGCTGACTCTGCCTCACGCAGTGCTGCTGCCTCAGCTTCACGTAGTGGTGCATCATCTGGATCACGAAGCGCTGCTGCTCAGCTTCACGTAGTGGTGCTGCCTCAGCTTCACGCAGTGGTGCATCATCTGGATCATGGAGTGGTGCTGACTCTGCCTCACGCAGTGCTGCTGCCTCAGCTTCACGTAGTGGTGCATCATCTGGATCACGAAGCGCTGCTGCCTCAGCTTCACGTAGTGGTGCTGCCTCAGCTTCACGCAGTGGTGCATCATCTGGATCATGGAGTGGTGCTGACTCTGCCTCACGCAGTGCTGCTGCCTCAGCTTCACGTAGTGGTGCATCATCTGGATCACGAAGCGCTGCTGCCTCAGCTTCACGCAGTGCTGCTGCCTCAGCTTCACGCAGTGGTGCATCATCTGGATCATGGAGTGGTGCTGACTCTGCTTCACGTAGTGGTGCGTCATCTGGATCACAAAGCGCTGCTGACTCTGCTTCACGTAGTGGTGCGTCATCTGGATCACGAAGCGCTGCTGACTCTGCCTCACGCAGTGCTGCTGCCTCAGCTTCACGTAGTGGTGCGTCATCTGGATCACAAAGCGCTGCTGACTCTGCTTCACGCAGTGCTGCTGCCTCAGCTTCACGCAGTGGTGCATCATCTGGATCATGGAGTGGTGCTGACTCTGCCTCACGCAGTGCTGCTGCCTCAGCTTCACGTAGTGGTGCATCATCTGGATCACAGAGCGCTGCTGACTCTGCCTCACGCAGTGCTGCTGCCTCAGCTTCACGCAGTGGTGCATCATCTGGATCACAAAGCGCTGCTGCCTCAGCTTCACGCAGTGCTGCTGCCTCAGCTTCACGCAGTGGTGCGTCATCTGGATCACAAAGCGCTGCTGACTCTGCTCACGCAGTGCTGCTGCCTCAGCTTCACGAGTGCTGCTGCCTCAGCTTCACGAGTGGTGCATCATCTGGATCATGGAGCGTGCTGACTCTGCCTCACGCAGTGCTGCTGCCTCAGCTTCACGTAGTGGTGCATCATCTGGATCACGAAGCGCTGCTGACTCTGCCTCACGTAGTGGTGCTGCCTCAGCTTCACGCAGTGGTGCATCATCTGGATCATGGAGTGGTGCTGACTCTGCCTCACGCAGTGCTGCTGACTGCCTAGTGGTGCTGCCTCAGCTTCACGTAGTGGTGCATCATCTGGATCACGAAGCGCTGCTGACTCTGCCTCACGCAGTGCTGCTGCCTCAGCTTCACGTAGTGGTGCATCATCTGGATCACGAAGCGCTGCTGCCTCAGCTTCACGTAGTGGTGCTGCCTCAGCTTCACGCAGTGGTGCATCATCTGGATCAGAGTGGTGCTGACTCTGCCTCACGCAGTGCTGCTGCCTCAGCTTCACGTAGTGGTGCATCATCTGGATCACGAAGCGCTGCTGCCTCAGCTTCACGCAGTGCTGCTGCCTCAGCTTCACGCAGTGGTGCATCATCTGGATCATGGAGTGGTGCTGACTCTGCTTCACGTAGTGGTGCGTCATCTGGATCACAAAGCGCTGCTGACTCTGCTTCACGTAGTGGTGCGTCATCTGGATCACGAAGCGCTGCTGACTCTGCCTCACGCAGTGCTGCTGCCTCAGCTTCACGTAGTGGTGCGTCATCTGGATCACAAAGCGCTGCTGACTCTGCTTCACGCAGTGCTGCTGCCTCAGCTTCACGCAGTGCTGCTGCCTCAGCTTCACGCAGTGGTGCATCATCTGGATCATGGAGTGGTGCTGATCTGTCACGAGGTGCTGCTCTCACGCAGTGCTGCTGCCTCAGCTTCACGTAGTGGTGCATCATCTGGATCACAGAGCGCTGCTGACTCTGCCTCACGCAGTGCTGCTGCCTCAGCTTCACGAGTGGGCATCTGGATCCAAAGCGCTGCTGCTCAGAGTGTGCTGCCTCAGCTTCACGCAGTGGTGCATCATCTGGATCATGGAGCGCTGCTGACTCTGCTCACGCAGTGGGCTCATCTGGATCACAAAGCGCTGCTGCTCAGCTTCACGTAGTGGTGCTGCCTCGCTTCACGCAGTGGTGCATCATCTGGATCACAAAGCGCTGCTGACTCTGCCTCACGCAGTGCTGCTGCCTCAGCTTCACGCAGTGCTGCTGCCTCAGCTTCACGCAGTGGTGCATCATCTGGATCATGGAGTGGTGCTGACTCTGCCTCACGCAGTGCTGCTGCCTCAGCTTCACGTAGTGGTGCATCATCTGGATCACGAAGCGCTGCTGCCTCAGCTTCACGCAGTGCTGCTGCCTGCTCAGCAGTGGTGCACTCGTCAGTGTGGTGCGTCATCTGGATCACAAAGCGCTGCTGACTCTGCTTCACGCAGTGCTGCTGCCTCAGCTTCACGTAGTGGTGCATCATCTGGATCACAGAGCGCTGCTGACTCTGCCTCACGCAGTGCTGCTGCCTCAGCTTCACGTAGTGGTGCTCATCTGGATCACGAAAGCGTGCTGACTCTGCTCACGCAGTGCTGCTGCCTCGCTCACGCAGTGGTGCATCATCTGGATCACAAGCGCTGCTGACTCGCTTCACGTAGTGGTGCTGCCTCAGCTTCACGCAGTGGTGCATCATCTGGATCACGAGTGGTGCTGATCTGCCTCACGCAGTGCTGCTGACTGCTTCACGTAGTGGTGCATCATCTGGATCACAAAGCGCTGCTGACTCTGCTTCACGCAGTGCTGCTGCCTCAGCTTCACGCAGTGGTGCATCATCTGGATCATGGAGTGGTGCTGACTCTGCCTCACGCAGTGCTGCTGCCTCAGCTTCACGTAGTGGTGCTGCCTCAGCTTCACGCAGTGGTGCATCATCTGGATCACGAGTGGTGCTGACTCTGCCTCACGCAGTGGTGCATCATCTGGATCACAAAGCGCTGCTGCCTCAGCTTCACGTAGTGGTGCTGCCTCGGCTTCACGTAGTGGTGCATCATCTGGATCACAGAGCGCTGCTGACTCTGCCTCACGCAGTGCTGCTGCCTCAGCTTCACGCAGTGGTGCATCATCTGGATCAGGAGTGGTGCTGACTCTGCCTCACGCAGTGCTGCTGCCTCAGCTTCACGTAGTGGTGCATCATCTGGATCACGAGCGCTGCTGCTCAGCTTCACGCAGTGCTGCTGCCTCAGCTTCACGCAGTGGTGCATCATCTGGATCATGGAGTGTGCTGACTCTGCTTCACGTAGTGGTGCGTCATCTGGATCACAAAGCGCTGCTGACTCTGCTTCACGCAGTGCTGCTGCCTCAGCTTCACGTAGTGGTGCGTCATCTGGATCACGAAGCGCTGCTGACTCTGCTTCACGCAGTGCTGCTGCCTCAGCTTCACGTAGTGGTGCTGTCACTCAGCGTGGGCTCACTGGATCATGGAGTGGTGCTGACTCTGCCTCACGCAGTGGTGCATCATCTGGATCAAAGCGCTGCTGCTCTGCCTCACGCAGTGCTGCTGCCTCAGCTTCACGTAGTGGTGCATCATCTGGATCACGAGCTGCTGCTGCCTCAGCTTCACGCAGTGGTGCATCATCTGGATCACAAAGCGCTGCTGACTCTGCTTCACGCAGTGGTGCTGCCTCGCTCACGAGTGGTGCGTCATCTGATCACAAAGCGCTGCTGACTCTGCTTCACGCAGTGCTGCTGCCTCAGCTTCACGTAGTGGTGCATCATCTGGATCACAAAGCGCTGCTGCCTCAGCTCACGTAGGTGCTGCCTCGGCTTCACGTAGTGGTGCTGCCTCAGCTTCACGCAGTGGTGCATCATCTGGATCATGGAGTGGTGCTGACTCTGCCTCACGCAGTGGTGCATCATCTGGATCACAAAGCGCTGCTGCCTCACGAGTGTGCTGCCTCGCTTCACGTAGTGGTGCATCATCTGGATCACAGAGCGCTGCTGACTCTGCTCACGCAGTGCTGCTGCCTCAGCTTCACGTAGTGGTGCATCATCTGGATCACAAAGCGCTGCTGCCTCGCTCACGAGTGTGCTGCCTCGCTTCACGTAGTGGTGCTGCCTCAGCTTCACGCAGTGGTGCACATCGGATCATGGAGTGGTGCTGACTGCCCACGCTGTGCATCTCTGTCACAGGCTGCTGCCTCAGCTTCACGTAGGGTGCATCATCTGGATCACAGAGCGCTGCTGACTCTGCCTCACGCAGTGCTGCTGCCTCAGCTTCACGTAGTGGTGCATCATCTGGATCACAAAGCGCTGCTGCCTCAGCTTCACGTAGTGGTGCTGCCTCGGCTTCACGTAGTGGTGCTGCCTCAGCTTCACGCAGTGGTGCATCATCTGGATCATGGAGTGGTGCTGACTCTGCCTCACGCAGTGGTGCATCATCTGGATCACAAAGCGCTGCTGCCTCAGCTTCACGTAGTGGTGCTGCCTCGGCTTCACGTAGTGGTGCATCATCTGGATCACAGAGCGCTGCTGACTCTGCCTCACGCAGTGCTGCTGCCTCAGCTTCACGTAGTGGTGCATCATCTGGATCACAAAGCGCTGCTGCCTCAGCTTCACGTAGTGGTGCTGCCTCGGCTTCACGTAGTGGTGCTGCCTCAGCTTCACGCAGTGGTGCATCATCTGGATCATGGAGTGGTGCTGACTCTGCCTCACGCAGTGGTGCATCATCTGGATCACAAAGCGCTGCTGCCTCAGCTTCACGTAGTGGTGCTGCCTCGGCTTCACGTAGTGGTGCATCATCTGGATCACAGAGCGCTGCTGACTCTGCCTCACGCAGTGCTGCTGCCTCAGCTTCACGTAGTGGTGCATCATCTGGATCACAAAGCGCTGCTGCCTCAGCTTCACGTAGTGGTGCTGCCTCGGCTTCACGTAGTGGTGCTGCCTCAGCTTCACGCAGTGGTGCATCATCTGGATCATGGAGTGGTGCTGACTCTGCCTCACGCAGTGGTGCATCATCTGGATCACAAAGCGCTGCTGACTCTGCTTCACGCAGTGCTGCTGCCTCAGCTTCACGTAGTGGTGCGTCATCTGGATCACAAAGCGCTGCTGACTCTGCTTCACGCAGTGCTGCTGCCTCAGCTTCACGCAGTGGTGCATCATCTGGATCACAAAGCGCTGCTGACTCTGCTTCACGCAGTGCTGCTGCCTCTGCCTCACGCAGTGGTGCATCATCTGGATCCCAAAGCGCTGCTGACTCTGCCTCACGCAGTGCTGCTGCCTCAGCTTCACGCAGTGGTGCATCATCTGGATCACAAAGCGCTGCTGACTCTGCTTCACGCAGTGCTGCTGCCTCAGCTTCACGCAGTGGTGCATCATCTGGATCACAAAGCGCTGCTGACTCTGCTCACGCAGTGCTGCTGCCTCAGCTTCACGTAGTGGTGCGTCATCTGGATCCCAAAGCGCTGCTGACTCTGCCTCACGCAGTGCTGCTGCCTCAGCTTCACGCAGTGGTGCTGCCTCAGCTTCACGCAGTGGTGCATCATCTGGATCACGAAAGCGTGCTGACTCTGCTTCACGCAGTGCTGCTGCCTCAGCTTCACGTAGTGGTGCTCATCTGGTCAGCGCTGCTGCTCGCTCACGCAGTGCTGCTGCCTCAGCTTCACGCAGTGGTGCTGCCTCAGCTTCACGCAGTGGTGCATCATCTGGATCACAAAGCGCTGCTGACTCTGCTTCACGCAGTGCTGCTGCCTCAGCTTCACGTAGTGGTGCATCATCTGGATCACAAAGCGCTGCTGACTCTGCTCACGCAGTGCTGCTGCCTCAGCTTCACGCAGTGGTGCTGCCTCAGCTTCACGCAGTGGTGCATCATCTGGATCATGGAGTGGTGCTGACTCTGCATCACGCAGTGCTGCTGACTCTGCCTCACGCAGTGCTGCTGCCTCAGCTTCACGCAGTGGTGCTGCCTCTGCTTCACGCAGCTGCTGCTGCATCATCTGGATCATGCAGTGGTGCTGCCTCAGCTTCACGCAGTGGTGCATCATCTGGATCATGGAGTGGTGCTGACTCTGCTTCACGCAGTGCTGCTGCCTCAGCTTCACGTAGTGGTGCATCATCTGGATCACAAAGCGCTGCTGACTCTGCTTCACGCAGTGCTGCTGCCTCAGCTTCACGTAGTGGTGCTGCCTCAGCTTCACGCAGTGGTGCATCATCTGGATCACGAGTGGTGCTGACTCCGCCTCACGCAGTGCTGCTGACTCTGCTCACGCAGTGCTGCTGCCTCAGCTTCACGTAGTGGTGCATCATCTGGATCACAAAGCGCTGCTGACTCTGCTTCACGCAGTGCTGCTGCCTCAGCTTCACGCAGTGGTGCTGCCTCAGCTTCACGCAGTGGTGCATCATCTGGATCATGGAGTGGTGCTGACTCTGCTTCACGCAGTGCTGCTGCCTCAGCTTCACGTAGTGGTGCATCATCTGGATCACAAAGCGCTGCTGACTCTGCTTCACGCAGTGCTGCTGCCTCAGCTTCACGTAGTGGTGCTGCCTCAGCTTCACGCAGTGGTGCATCATCTGGATCATGGAGTGGTGCTGACTCCGCCTCACGCAGTGCTGCTGACTCTGCCTCACGCAGTGCTGCTGCCTCAGCTTCACGTAGTGGTGCATCATCTGGATCACAAAGCGCTGCTGACTCTGCTTCACGCAGTGCTGCTGCCTCAGCTTCACGCAGTGGTGCATCATCTGGATCACAAAGCGCTGCTGACTCTGCTTCACGCAGTGCTGCTGCCTCAGCTTCACGCAGTGGTGCATCATCTGGATCACAAAGCGCTGCTGACTCTGCCTCACGCAGTGCTGCTGCCTCAGCTTCACGAGTGGTGCGTCATCTGGATCACAAAGCGCTGCTGACTCTGCTTCACGCAGTGCTGCTGCCTCAGCTTCACGCAGTGGTGCATCATCTGGATCATGGAGTGGTGCTGACTCTGCTTCACGCAGTGCTGCTGCCTCAGCTTCACGTAGTGGTGCTGCCTCAGCTTCACGCAGTGCTGCTGCCTCTGCCTCACGCAGTGGTGCATCATCTGGATCACAAAGCGCTGCTGACTCTGCTTCACGCAGTGCTGCTGCCTCAGCTTCACGCAGTGGTGCATCATCTGGATCACAAAGCGCTGCTGACTCTGCTTCACGCAGTGCTGCTGCCTCAGCTTCACGCAGTGGTGCTGCCTCAGCTTCACGCAGTGGTGCATCATCTGGATCATGGAGTGGTGCTGACTCTGCTTCACGCAGTGCTGCTGCCTCAGCTTCACGCAGTGGTGCATCATCTGGATCACAAAGCGCTGCTGACTCTGCTTCACGCAGTGCTGCTGCCTCAGCTTCACGCAGTGGTGCTGCCTCAGCTTCACGCAGTGGTGCATCATCTGGATCATGGAGTGGTGCTGACTCCGCCTCACGCAGTGCTGCTGACTCTGCCTCACGCAGTGCTGCTGCCTCAGCTTCACGTAGTGGTGCATCATCTGGATCACAAAGCGCTGCTGACTCTGCTTCACGCAGTGCTGCTGCCTCAGCTTCACGCAGTGGTGCTGCCTCAGCTTCACGCAGTGGTGCATCATCTGGATCACAAAGCGCTGCTGACTCTGCCTCACGCAGTGCTGCTGCCTCAGCTTCACGTAGTGGTGCTGCCTCAGCTTCACGTAGTGGTGCATCATCTGGATCCCAAAGCGCTGCTGACTCTGCCTCACGCAGTGCTGCTGCCT